TTCACTTGATTCTTAGATTCACTTGTTGATAGATGTGTATTTGTTGTTCATAATTTGTATCCTTTACCTTTTTCTTCTTCTTCCTCTTCTTAAAGGATACCTTTCCAGCATTCATATAATACTGGGTTTGGTGGTGATGAACTCCTTTTAGCTTTTCCTTATTTGTGAAGCTCTTTATCTGACCTTCAATTCTGAATGATAGCTTTGCTGGATAAAGTAATCTTGGTTGTAGGTTCTTGGTATTCATCACTTTGAATATTTCTTGCCACTCCCTTCTGGCCTGCAAAGTTTCTGTTGAGAAATCAGCTGACAGTCGTACGGGTCTTCCCTTGTAGGTAACTGAGTTTCTTTCTCTTGCTGCTTTTAAGATTCTCTATTTGTCTTTTGCTCTTGGCATTTTAATGATGATGTGTCTTGGTGTGGTCCTCTTTGGATTCCTTTTGTTTGGGGTTCTCTGCGCTTCCTGGACTTGTAAATCTATTTCTTTCACCAGGTAGGGGAAGTTTTCTGCCATTATTTCTTCAAATAGGTTTTCAATATCTTGCTCTCTCTCATCTTCTGGCACCCTTATTATTCTGATGTTGGTACGCTTGTAGCTGTCCCAGAGGCTCCTTACACTATCTTCACACTTTCGGATTCTTTTTTCATTTTGCTTTTCCGGTTGGGTGTTTTTTGCTTCCTCGCATTTCAAATCTTTGACTTGATTCTTGCGCTCCTCTGGTCTGCTGTTGGGAGTCTGTATAATATTCTTTATTTCAGTCAGTGTATGCTTACTTTCTAGTTGGTCCTTTATCACACCATCGAGGGTCTCATTAGATTTCCTGTACATCTCATCAAGTTTATCGACAGCCTCTAGAAGCCTCTTGAGAGACCTCAAAAGTGTGGTTTTGAATTCTATATCCAGTAGCCTGCTTTCCTCCGGTTCTGTCCTTTGTGGCCTGTTTCTTTGTCTTGGCATTTTTTTATGCTTCGCTGTGTCGATAGAGTGGCTTTCCGTGTTAAGTGTCCCAATTACCTGAGGTAGACACTCTTGGTGCACCCCCTTGTGGTCTCTGTGAGCAGTCTTGTAGTCAAGCCTTGATTGTTGTAGGTAATTACTACTTGACCTCCAGGCCAACTGGCCGTGAGAATCAGCTGTGTCTGCAGTGGGAGAACTTCTGTCCTCTAGGGAGGTGCTAATCTAGCCTTTGCCTGAGGCTATCCGGCAAATGGCTCTGTGCAGGGCTTGGGCGGGGCGGGTCCCACAGGATCAACAGGGCGGAGGAGGGAGCAGTTATGGCTGCTCTCAGTCCGTCCCCAGGGGCTCTGCCTCTCTGTCCCAGCAACCGCTGCAAACCTCGGAGGGACCGAAGCCAGACAGTCCCGCTTCTCCCGTTTGAGTCTGGGTCCCTAGAGACTCGCCCGGATCTGGAGCTCAGAGTCTGAGGCTCCCTCCGGATTGAAATAGTCAACCGCGCCCTCAGCCACCAGCCCGCGCCGCGCGCACTCCGCACCTTAGTATTTTACTTCAGCACTGCGCCTCCTCTGATTCTCGGTTCCTCCTAGTTGTAGAACTTCCACTCAGCCAGCCTTCCTGTGGTTCTGGATGATGTTCGTTCCGTCTTTTAGTTGTATTTTTGAAGTGGTTGTTTGAGGCAGCAAACTCCCGCGTTAACCTATGCTGCCATCTTGGTTTCTCCAGATTTTAACTTTTAAATTAAACTTTGTGAACATGTGATTTACCCATCATTCAATTGATTAATTTAAAATGTACATTTCAATAGTTCATACTGTATTCACAGAATTGTGCTACCACCATGGTGATCATATGAAGAGCATTTTCTGCCCCAGTGAAACCTTTATCCTTTACAAGGAACTCCCTAATGTCTTCCTCCCTAAACCCTATCTGACCATTAATCTGGTTTGTGTCTCTATAGAAGTAGAGGATTTCTTATAAACAGAATAATGTAATATGTGTCCTTTTGTCATTGGCTTCTTTACTTCTCATAATAATTTAAAGATTCATTCATATTACAGCATGCATCCTTTTTACTGTCAGATAATATTTCATAATACAGACATACCACATTCTTTTTATTCATGCATTAGTTGATAGACATCCCCGCCCCCAATTTTGGCCACTATGAATAATGTTTTTTTTAATATTCATGTGCCAGTTATGAGTGAACAAGTTTTCCTTGGACATAAATGTGTCTGTAAATAGCTAAGTGATGCTGTGCCTTGTTTTGCAGGAAGTGGGTGTATATATGTACACACGCTATAAGAAAATTCAATAGTCCCTTTAGAGTATGGGTTCTACATTATCAAACCTACAATTGAGACCATATACCCATTATCAAAGGCTGCAAGAAGAGTGAAAGCAGCCAGGTGAATCTTTTTAAGGGGCTGTGAGGTAAAGAGAATTAGTTACTAAAACCCAAGTCTATCATAAACAGCTCAATTTTATATTAGGAAACAACTAGCTGTTGTTATATTTCTAAATTAACATACATTTTATTTATTTTTTGTTGTTAATCCTCACCCAAGGATATTTTTTCCATTGATATTTTTGGAGAGAGTGGGAGGGAGAGAGAGAGAGAGAGGGAGACAGAGACACATAGACTGGTTGTGTCTAGCACAAGCCCCAACTGGGGTGGAGAAAGAACCTACAACCAAGGTACGTGCCCTGGACTTGAATCAAATCCACAACCCTTCAGTCTGCAGGGCGATGCTCTAACCACTGAGCCCCGGCTATGGCTCCACATACACTTTAATCAGAAATGACTGAAACTGGATGAGGGCAAATGACTTGTCATATTTTTAGGTAAGAAATGATGCTGAGGCTGGATATACAAAAAACCAAGGAGCAGGAGGGGGCAGGAGCGGGGAGAAGGAGGTAAGTGAGGGTAAAAAGGGGGGGGACATCTGTAATACTTTCAACAACAAAGATAAAATATATATAAAACAACCTTCCCCCCAAAAGAAGCATTAGTGGTCTCCCAAAATGAAATGGAAGGATGAATCATTTCACACAATTCTAACTATTGAATGGTTTCTTTAGCAAAAGATAAAACCACAGAATTTTGCACCAGAATAAAGTTAAAATATTCTGAGCATTTGCACAGTAATACTAATATTGTGAATAAACTATTTAATGTTCTTGTATTTATGCCCAGTGTTGGAAACATAACTAAGTTTAATCATTTTTTGGTATAACTTTGGAATTAATATAATAAAATTCAATAAATACACACATTGTTTTATTGTTATTTTATTTTTGCTCAGTTTTTTTCTCTTTGGCATGAATACTTTTAACTCTTAAACAGACAGTAAATCACTTGAAAACAAATTTTGATTTGAGAAGCTACATTGTGAAAAGTAATTTTGTCACAGGAAGAAGGGATCCTTATGTTATAACTTCATTGTGCTGAATAAACTGAAGGAGGCATATCAGCTTCAGGCCTCTGAAACAACTACTCCCTTTTCTTCATCTTTCCTGGTTTAGCAAACTTCTGGTAACACAACAGACAACATTTTGTGATGACAAATGTAGCAGTTGCCACACAGGCCAGCAGGAACCCAGTCACATCCAAAGAGTGGTACTGGACCCAGGTGAGGTCATGGGAGGCTGGCCGCAGGTGTTTGGCTCCTTTGTGGCGCATGACAAACTCGATCCAGAAGACCGCTCGATCTAGGGGTTTCATAGGCTGGTCATGATGAATTCTTGATAATCTCATTGCATTCTCTTTATATCTGAAGGAGAAACACAAAGATTACACATTGAATGAAAGTTAACTTACCTAAGCATATCATGCCCATGAAAGGTTTTTGAAAATGTCATAAATATGATTCAAAATAATATCATTCATTGAATTTACTTCTTCATAGATAGTTTGGCCTTTAAATTGGGATTTTCTGATGACATGTAGTTTTAAAAGTGAAGATGGAAGTTAAGTTGGACAGTTCAGTCTTTTCTAGCAGAGTAAATGGTAGGAGCCATTGTTAGTGCTATCAATGAGATGGTGGAAATTCACTTGCAGAGTGATGCTCATGAAGTGTTTAATGGGAGTAGTGTCATTGTGAGTGAAATGTCTCCCCAGTAGTCCCTGGACCTCCACTCTTCTCTTTGACCCTCTACTTTTTAATTGCCATCAGTTAGCCAGTATGGTTTTTGAAACAGATATCAGATATGACACTTCCCTGCTCAAAATTTCCATCTGGCTTCTCATCACATTTGAATAAAGTCCAAACGATTTTAGGACTAAAGGACTCCATATGGTCATACCCCTGGCAACCTCTTCTTTCACTTGGTCTCATGCACACTTTGTTGTAGGCACACTGGCCTTCTAGCTGTTCCTTGAAGTTGTCTGACAGGTTTTTGTTTGTTTGTTTTTAATTGCAAGTGCATTGCTTAAGCCTCCATTGGTGAGGTATCCATTTCAAAGAGGCATTTACTTTCAAGAGGACTATCTTTGTCAGCCACTTGACTAGATAAAGAGCTAGGCTGCCTCCCTCCAGTGAGGTTCCTTTGTTTTAGAGATTTAGTTCACTGGCTTTTTGGACTACTTTTTTTTCTTCTCATTCCTGTGCTTTAAGTTCTGCTCTTATATTTTAAATTCATGAATAAAGAGCGAGTTTGCCAAACTCTTGGCCTTCATTCCAATAAAAGCAGTGTGTGTGTGTGCTTTGCTGTCTCTCTCTCTCTCTCTCTCTACCTGTGACTGTTTTCTGGCCCCAGGTGTTCTATGTAATTTCCGGGTTTTTAAAATAATAAACTTTTATTTTTAAAACATTTTTTTATGGTTATTGCTGAAGGACATCTTGCAATCATAAAAGGAACCACAAGGGCTGATCCAGACACCACATTGGTTATTGAGAGGCTGAGACCAGCACAAAGCAATATCAAACAGGTTACATTTAAAATTTTGTTCTTTAAAACTTTTAGGTACTTATCCATTATTTTGGGGATCAAACTCACAAGCAAGATATGCATATATTTTTTCTTATCCACTTTGCTTTGATTATTTTGAGTTTTTATTAGTAGGTGCTACCAATTGATAATTGGTATTGTTTTAAAAAATTGATGTATTAATGACTATGAGATATTTGTGTTTAGCAGGCTTTTGGACTACTGTGTCTGATATTAGCATAAGTAAAACATCTCTCTAGGTTACTGTTTTTTGTTGTTTTTTTTTTTTTAAACAAACGCTTCAATTTTCATAGAAACGTCGGTTTATTTATTTTTTAGTTTTTATTATATGTTTTATTGATTTTTTTTACAGAGAGGAAGGGAGGGTGATAGAGAGTTAGAAACATCGATGAGAGAGAAACATCGATCAACTGCCTCCTGCACACCCCCTATTGGGGATGTGCCCACAACCAAGGTACATGCCCTTGACCAGAATCAAACCTGGGACCCTTCTGTCCACAGGCCGACGCTCTATCCACTGAGCCAAACCGGTTAGGGCTCTCTAGGTTACTGTTTATATAGAACTTTTCCTATCTTTTTACTTACACTCTTCTTGTGTACTACTATTTAAACATTTCTTGTAAAAAGTATGTTAGTTAATTTTGTTTTTCTTTTAAAATATATTTTATTGATTTTTTACAGAGAGCAATGGAGAGGGATAGAGAGTTAGAAACATCGATGAGAGAGAAACATTGATCAACTGCCTCCTGCACACTCCCTACTGGGTATGTGCCCACAGCCAAGGTACATGCCCTTGACTGGAATCTAACCTGGGACCCTTGAGTCCACAGGCCAATGCTCTATCCACTGAGCCAAACCGGTTAGGGCTGTTAGTTTTTAAAATGCAGTCTAACAATCTTTGTCTTTAAACATTGAGTTTGTTTACATTTGATGTAAGTACTGGCATATTTACATTTGTATCTACCATCTTATTCTATACTAGAGGCCCAGTGCAAGAAATGTACACACAGGTAGGGTCCCTAGCTGCTGCCGTCCAGGGCCTCCCTTCATTCCATGGGACCCCATGGTGGTCATAGTGAGTGATCAAACTTTTGGTCAGTCAAACTCCGGAGGGGACATTTTGCATATTAGGCTTTTATCTATATAAATTTTCTTTTCTATTTGTCCAACCTGTTTATATTTTTTTCCTATTATGTCATATTTTAAAGTATTTTCTTCTCATTCAATTGTTCTACCATTTTATTCTTAATAATACATTTTGGAAGTATTCCTTTATGTGATACTCTATTAATATAATAATAATGAGAATAGTAGTAATAAATACTGAATTGATGGTTGCCATGCTAGGCACTATAAATTGCACTATCCTATTTTCCTCTTTAATATGGAAAATTTCAATATCTTTCTTATCATATTTGAAAAATTTTATGCTTCAAAGGACATAGTCAAGATAGTGAAAAATCAACCCATCCAGAATGGGAGAAAATATTAACATATTATATATCTGATAATGTACTTGTATCCATAATACATTAAAAATTCTTTATATCTATAAATATAAAAAGCCAGCGACCAGAAATCAGTAACGACTGGAACAACTGGTCGCTAGGACACCCACTGCGGCTAGCAAACTGGCCCAATCAGGGGGTGGGGCTGGCCAGCCAACCTCCTGCAGCCCCTTCCCCCTCCCTGGCCCCTTCCCAGATCGGCCCCTGCACCCAGATCAGGGGCAGGGGCGCCCAGCCATCTGCCTGTGGCCCCTCCCCTGAGCCAGCCCCACCCCTCCCTGATCACCCCCCCACCCGAATAGGGGGCAGGGCCGGCCAACTTCCAGCAGCCACTCACCTGGGCCAACCACACCCCGAATGGGCCCCCCCAACCCCAATAGAGTCAGGGCTGGCCAGCCAACCTCCTGCTTCCCCTCCCTCCATCTGGACCCACAACAGATTGGCCCCCACACATGATCAGGGGCAGGGCTACTGGACAACTTCCTGCAGCCACTCCCCTGGGCTGGCCCTGCCCCCACCACCCTGATTGGTCTGCGGCTCCTCCCCCCAGCCAGCTGTGCCCCTGATCGGCCCCCCCATCTCTGATCAGGGGCAGGGCTGGCTGGCCAACCATCCATGTCCTGTCCCCCAGGTGCTGGCCACTGATTGGTCTCCCCATCCTACTCGAGGTTGGGGTCGGCTGGCCTACCACCCATAGCCCCTCCCCACAACTGGCCCCACCCATGATCAGCCTGCAGCACCCCTGATCAGCCCCCAGCCCCTCCCCCCAGCCAGCGCTGCCCCTGAAGGTCCCCCCACCCCAATCAGTGGTGGGGCTAGCTGTCCAAACTTGCATGGTCCTTCCTCTGGCCACTGACCCCCAATCGGCCCCCCACCCCAATTGGGAGTGGGGCCTGCCAGCCCATCGCCTGTGGGCGCTCCTCCCAACCAGCGCGACCCTGATTGATCTTCTATCAGGGCAGTCTGGCCAGCAACTCAGCATTCTCCTCTGCCCAAAAGGACTGGCCCCGATCTGCCCCTATTGGGGTTGGGCTGGCCAGACCCCAGCCATGCACGAATTTGTGCATTGGGCCTTTAGTTCAATAATAAGACAAATAACCAAATTTCAGAGTTGTCAAAGTTTTGCTATACACATTTCTCTAATCAGGCTATATGCATACTTAATGGCATATGAAAATAGGCTAATATATAAAACTAGTGGCCCGGTGCACAAAAATTTGTGCACTCGGGGGGCATCCCTCAGCCCAGCCTGCTCCCTCTAACAGTCTGGGAGCCCTCACAGGATGTCCTACTGATGTCCCTGTGGGGAGCGGGCCTAAGCCGCAGTCTGGCCTCCCTCTGTGGAAGGCAACTGGCCGATCAGGTATATAGATACTTTCTGAAGGCAGCACAGACTCCTTCCTTATTTCTTTCCTCTGCGGTTATAGAATAGGGGACTAAAAGGTGGACACAGAACTGTGGCCGGGCCTGGGGCTCTTGTAGGCAGCAGAAAGAAGGAGAGGGCTGGGGAAAGTCTAGACATGGTTTTCTTCAATTGTCCTCCCTTCATCCGGGCCCCTCGCTCTGTTCTCCCCTTGTTGTGGTGGACGCTTGGGCCTCGGACTGACAGGAGCCCAGAGACGGTGAAGTTCAGCCCCCTCACTTCTCAGCTGAACATACAACCACCTCACATTCCAAGTGGAGCTGTTTTCAAGTGGCTACAGTGCTGGCAATTCATGTCTCCCGGCCTTTCCCCTCTCGGGTTTCCTCCTTGGGTCAGTTGCAAACTTCACCGAGACACCAAAGCAACTGTGCCCTGGTACTTCTGCACCGGCCCCTGCCTGGGCCCACACCAGGAGGATCCCAGCTGAGGTCCCCTCCCTGCACCCAGCGCTCTCCTCCCTGTTCTACTACTGGGGGAAGGGAACAGCTCACCTTCTCTGGACCCTGCCAACTTGGCAGCTGAGGCACAGGCCAGGCGGTGAGGCCTAGAGTGCTGGTGGCTGCGAGCCTTCTCCCCCTCCCTGAAGCGTGGGGTGGGGTTGCAGCAGCTCACAGCCGCCCCTGGGCACCATGCATGGAGATACCACTCTCCATTGAGCCACCGTCTGCCCAGGACCTGTGGGGGTTGGGGTGGCCTCGGGCTCCCACTGGCCCCACTGCTGGAGGGCTGTGCATGCCCCATGGGCCTCATCGCCCTCATGAATCCCCGTGGTCTGGCGATCCCATCCCAGGAAGTGGCCATCCTGATTGCCATAGCTCACTCTCTGGTGCAGTTGGGCCTGCCCAGCAAGCATGTAGGCAGGAGCTGGGCCTCTGAGGAGAAGGAGGAGGGATGTGGGCCAGGGAAGAAGTGGGGAACTTGGTGGTGTAAACACAGCCCCCCCCTCCCACTCGTGCCGG